AATACATTTCTTCTGTCCCTGGCAAGCACCTTCTCCCCCCCCAGTTGCCTATCGTAGTTCGAATCCCCCCACTAGTGTAGCCCAGGCCAGAGAGAGAAAATGAGTTTGCTCTACAGCCTTAGCTAACAGCCGGTTGGCTTTTGGCTGATGCACTAAGCTCCAGAGCTGAAGTCAAAGCATCTTAGTCCTGACAGCGGCGAGTCCCAGATACTCCGCTTACTCCTCCTGCTGAGGTGGAGTACAGGTGTCGATTCAGGGATCGATTTATCGCGTCTAGACAAGACGCGATAAATCAATCCCCAATACATCGATCACTACCCGCCGATCCGGGTAGTATAGACATACCCTCTAAGTGGTCTCGGTGCTGCTAGATGGGACAGAACACCACAACCAGGAGGTATGTGGGTTACATCAGGTCAGTTAAACCTCATTTAAAATGGGCATGATCACCACAGCTTTGGTGCAGCTACTTCCGTTCTAATAAAATCTTGTTGCTGTCACACTAACTTCAGGGCCGCCCAGAGGATTCAGGGGGCCTGGGGAAAAGCAATTTTGGGGGCCCCTTCCATAAAAAAAGTTGCAATACTATATTCTCATGGGGGCCCCTGTCGCCCCGGGGCAAATTGCCCCACTTGTCCCCCCCCTCCCGCCCCCCCGGGCGGCCCTGGGAAAAAATAAACATTTAAAAACCTTCCGCATCTCGGCACAAACCAGTTTTGAGAAAACTTCTTTTCAAGTCACCTTTACAAGATATCACTGGTTCTCAGCATCAGCTCGTGCTAAAAGGCACTAAAGCTCATTAAAAGGGTTGGACAAATATTTTCCGTCAAAACTTTTTTTGGATCGAAAACTAGGGGTTTTTAAAAAGCAGAAAAAATCATGGACAATGTCTGCTTTCCTTCCAAATTTGTTGTGTTTTTTTTTTAATTGAAAAGCTGAAATTAGTCTGCCAAAACCTGAACATGATTTGGGGTTTCAGAAGTGTGTGGCCAAATATTTGCTGCTTGCTGTGTTTGATTGTTTAAAGAAACAATAAAAAAATTCTGCTTAAAAAAAATCCAAAACTTTTGAACCACCTCAGCTTGTGACCAAACGCCTGAGCCCATCCAGTCAGAGACTTTTCCAGGTTTCTGATACACTGCTGGCTTCCTTGACACATATCTGTCTCCATAACTTTGGGTTCATTTAGATTAGAACATAAGAATAGCCATAGTGGGTCAGACCAAAGGTCCATCCAGCCCAGTATCCTGTCTACTGACAGTGACCAATGCCAAGTGCCCCAGAGGGAGTGAACCTAACAGGTAATGATCAAGTGATCTCTCTCCTGCCAGCCATCTCCACCCTCTGACAAACAGAGGCTAGGGACACCATTCCTTACCCACCCTGGCTAATAGCCATTAATGGACTTAACCTCCAGGAATTTATCTGTTTCTTAGAGACTGGCTCCATGGGGTCCCTCACAAACTGGAGACGGTTACTGGGGGTTTGTCTTTAGTACAGACTATGTACATACTCCACGAACTGAGCATTTGAGCTTGTTCCAGAATCTGGGATGAGCCTCTGTTGTGAAAACTGAAATGCTCAAAATAGCACATGCATGTGAATGGACACAGGGTGCTAAAATTAAATTAACCCAGGGGTTCTCAAACTGGGGGTCGGGACCCCTCAGGGGGTCACGAGGTTATTACTGGGGGTCGCGAGCTGTCAGCCTCCACCTCAAACCCCGCTTTGCCTCCAGCATTTATAATAGTGTCAAATATATTAAAAAGTGTTTTTAATTTATAAGGGAGGGTCGCACTCAGCGGTTTGCTAAGTGAAAGGGGTCACCAGTACAAAAGTTTGAGAACCACTGAATTAACCCCTCTGGAGCCTCGGGGAATGCAGGGGAGGGGGGGGGTCTCCCTTGGTAGGTTTGGGAAGGAGGTAGGTGGTGTATGACATTGCTCTTGTCATGTGATCCCTCCCCCATGGCTCTCTTGGCTCTATCACTGTTAATCTAAAGTGGCTAATTTGAAATGAAGCTCCCCTCCCCTGACATGAATCTCCCTATGGCACTGAAATTAAATGTAGACTATAGTTTGGAATTTGAGAAGTGAAAGGGATGGTAGCCCTAAGGGAAAAGATATCAGCTTGGTTCATTGTGTTAAATAGCTGTCTGCAAGCCTCAAACTGCTTAATGAGCTTTAGGGTAGGGAAGGCTGTGCCTCCCCAAACAGCCTGGCCCTGCCCCCTATCTGACCCCCACCTACTTCCTGCTCCCCCGACTGGACCCCTCAGAATCCCTGACCCACCTGCTCCTTGTCCCCTCACCCCACCTCAACCACCACCCCGGGATCCCACCCCCCACCAACCTCCCCTGTCTGCCCCGGCCCCTATCCACCCCCCGCTGAGTCCTTACAGACCCCCGGAATGCCCACAATCCAACCCCCCCATTCCCCGTCCCCTGACCGCCCCCCAGCAGCGCTGTCCAGGGTCGCTCCTGGGTTACCACCGCCGCCTCTCCCCTCTCTCGGAACCTCAGCGCGCCGCGTCCAGGAGCTGCCCTGGCCCCTGGACAGCGCTGCAGCGGCGTGGTTCCGGCGGGACCGGAGGTCGCAGCCCCGCCCCCTTACCACATGGCTCTGACTCAGTGGGAGGAGCTCAGGCCACACCGCTGCAGCGCTCTCCAGGGCCGCTCCTGGAGGCGGAGGCGGGGCCCCTGCAGGGCCTGGGGCAAATTGCCCCGACACTAACAAGCACAAAGTGGCCCCGACACTAACAAGCATCAATTAAATCAAAAGTCAGGCCGGAACTTGTTGGTTGAGCACAAAATTCCCTGTTAAATCACTAAAACATCCTGAGGGGGCCCAGTGAATAAAGCAACTGCTACTTCTGTTCTGCAGCACAAGCATTTATAGGTTTTCCTTACAGAGAACAGATCAGCTCCTCCTTCTAGAGATGGGAGTCTTGTATGGGAGCAGGATCAGACCCTAAGTGCCCACTAGTTTAGGGCATCCTCCCTGTTTTCTTGGCCAGAAGAGAGTGGTTGAAGTTGACCAAGTTATGTTTTGCCCGAGGCTTGGTCTACATTTATCCTGGCATAGCTATGTCATTCAAGGATATGGCTTTTTCCACACACCAGACTGGCACAGCTATGCTAGGATTACTCTCAAGTGTGGGTGCAGCTATAGTGCTGGAAAGGGACTTTCAATCAATGTAGCTAATGTTGTTCAGGGAGGTGGCATTCCTGCACTGACAGGCCCCTTCTGGCAGTAGACTGTGTCTACTCTCCAGGGCTCTGTCTGCACAGGAAGCTCCTTAGCTGGCAGAAATTGGTGTAGGTGCAGGCTGATTTACCCCAGCTGAGGGTCTTGCCCTGTGATTGTCCTTTCCTAAATAGGGACAGTCAGCAGGTGTGTGCAGCCTGCAAAGAATTTAAAAACAGGCCACCCCAAGGGCCAGGTTGATTTTTATCTTTGCTCTCTTCAGCTATCCCTGGACGATGTCAGCCAAGGAGGTTCATTGGTTTTTCAGTGTCTGAGGAGCCCCATTTGTGCCCTGCAGCTTTTCCCACAGACGTGACAGGTGTAATCTTGGAGGAGACATCCTTGTTGGCTAGACTGTCGTGCCCTTTCTTTCCTCCGTTGTGGCTTCTGTCTCAGGAGCACGTCTGAGCTACACCGGCATTAGCCCTAGTGACCCATTGACCTCGGTGCAGTTACACCAACACAGCAGAGCAGATTCTGGCTCCACACGGTACAGCCCACTGACTCCGCAACCCAGAGCCTTCATTAGAAAAACCACCCACTCCGCTCAATAGCGGAACAAACCACCTATTTCCCCTCCAGCAGCTCGTCCTTCTGAAATAACGCAACTCGTGTGGGTGTGCTCTGCTGCAGAAGCAAAAGGAGGCAGGTCCGCTTTGCCGGGGCTGGGAATTTTAGCACATCCTCGGGGTTCGCTTTCTGGGGCCAAGTTCCCTTTGTACAGGTCTGTGCCCCTGAGCGAGTCCTGGGCTGTGCATGTCTTCAGCCAGAGCTGCATTGGATTAGTCAGACGGATTGTAACACACACACACCCCCGAATCAACCGGCGTCTTTCCACTGGCTTCCCTGCACCAGCGACCACCCATCACCCTTCTATTGAAACACCGGCTTCACCTCCCCGTCCCAGCCGCCTCTTGCAGGGGCGCGGAGGGAGGATTTGGCTCGGAAGCAGGAAATCGGCTCCGTCCCCCGCTTCTATTGACTGGGGTTGCGCCTGTCCGCACTTGCTGCGGTTTCCATTTCGCCTGGACGCCGCCCCACTGCTCTCAAAGCAACAAGGAGCCCACCTGAAACCGACCGGCCCGGCCAGGGGAACTCCGTCTCCCTCGCGCTTCCTCCAGCCCCGGACTGGTTTTTTGGGCTTGAGTTTTGCCCGATCCCTGAACTTCCCCTCGCTCCTTGTTAATCATCAGCCACCCCAGGAAAGCCCCCGCGGCTCTCGGGGCGTGCAGCCAACGGAGCCAAGCGGCGGAGCCCGTGGGGGGACACCCCCAAACTGAGCCCGTTCTGAAAACGTGCCCACGGCAATACACAGCAGGGTGTCTAGCCCTGCCCCCACCCCCTTTTCCCGAGGATCCTGAAACTGCCGGCGCGCGGGGGGGGGGGGGGGGGGGGGGTCACACAAAAACCAAATCAACCCAAACACGCGCCGCTGCTGGGGCGAGTTGTTCAGTGTAGAAGCTCGAGCTGGAATTTCAAGCCGAATCCCAGCCCCCAGCCGAGCATCCGTCCACTCCAGCGAGCAGAGTCCCCAGCGGAAACCCATCAGCCGCCAATGATACATGCTGGGAAGGCGGCTCCCAGAAACTGAAAGAAAACTGGGATCGGCTCCCCAAGCCCCTTTAAACCCACGAAGGGGGGGGAAGAGATCCCTCTGCAGGCGTGTTTCCCCCACAAAACCTCTCCGCTCCCACCCACACGCTAGCCCTACCCAGCACTATCACCCAGGAATAATCAGCACCCTTCCTAGCTTACCTTTAAATTTTTCCATCTGGTTTGTAGGCAGATCCAGACAAGGGCTCGGGTTTTTTGCAGTGGCTCGGTTATTTCAGCCTCCCAGGTGCCCGCGGATTCCCCCACGAGAAGACGATCGCTTTCCCACCAATCCAGTTATGTATTTCTCTGTCCTAAAGACACTTCTCAGCCTCTTGTTCTGGCTCCAGTCAGTTTCTCTCGCTCCCTTCTCTGAAAGCTCCTCCCTGTGAGGTCACATACAGCAGCTGTACCCACTGGTGCTAAAGTAGCTCGTTGCAAAGTTGACTGCAACTCCAGCAGGCGTGTGTCTAAAAGGGGCTGCGTGTCAGAACTCCTAGGTAGCCAGTCCTCGAGTCTGTCACAGCTGCTGCTACTACTACAGCCCCCACGTGACAGCATCCGTGGGGGTAACAGATCTAAGCAAAACTGAGCTACCTTTAACAACAAACAACAAACCCAGGACAATAGCTGGTTCCTTCTCCATTACTGTCAAGGGGGTGGGGGGAAATCAGGGCTTGGAAAACAGCAAGCTTCAAGTATTATGAACAGTTCCTCTGCTAGAGCAAGAGGAGCAGCTAATGACTGTTGCTGAAATGGGGTGCCCAGGTGAAGGACCAAACCGTTTTATTTCTGTGGACGGTTCCACATAGGGCAGTTGGAGCCCAGAACTGAGGGAACCTCCTGCAGAGACCTGGAGAGATGTTCCAAATTGGTGTATTTGTGCTACAGCTGACTTTAAAAAAAAAAAAAAAAAGCCCCTGATTTACCAGTAGGGAAGGGATAGCTCAGTGGTTTGAGCATTGGCCTGCTAAACCCAGGATTGTGAATTCAATCCTCAAGGGGGCTACTTAGGGATCTGGGGAAAAATCAATACTTGGTCCTGCTAGTGAAGGCAGGGGGCTGGACTTTATGACCGTTCAGGGTCCCTTCCAGCTCTATGAGATAGGTAGATATCCATGGGGTTTTTTTTAATTTTATTCTTTTAATTGCTTCATCTTTCTGCTCTTAGTGATAAGTCCTCTAACACAGTCAGCTTAAAAATTATTGGGGCAGTTCCTGCTTTCCTAGAAATGTGCTTACCATTGACTTCCATCTATAAAATGGAGATAATGATACTCTTATTTGTACAGGGCTTTGGGATCCTCTAAGGTGAAAGTTACTGTACAAAAGAATGACTGAATATTATTCTGGGAGGGGATCTGGTTTGATTTTATTTTTCCTTACTTGTGTTATAACATCACCAAGAGAAGCAGCATGATCCAGTAGATAGGGCACTGGAATGGGAGTCAGGAGATCTGGGTTCTATATTCAACTCTGCCCCTGAGTTGCTGTTGTTACCTTGGCCAATTCACTTGTCACCTCATCAGTTCTGTCAAGTTAGCCTGTCCACAGGAACAACAGGGAGTCTGGTGGCACCTTAAAGACTAACAGCTTTATTTGGGCATAAGCTTTTGTGGGTAAAAAAACCACTTCTTCAGATGCAGGCCTGACACATGAAGAGAAGGGAGTTAGTTAGCTCAGAAGTGGAGAACCAGTGTTGACAGGGCCAATTCGACCAGGGTGGATGTGGTCCACTCCCAATAATTGATGAGGTGGTGTCAATTCCAGGAGAGGCAAAGCTGCTTTTGTAGTTAGCCAGCCACTCTCAGGCCCTGTTCAAGCCCAAATTAAATGGTGGCATATATAACATTAGTAGACATGCAGCTGAATGAGCCCCTGATGGTGCGGCTGATGTGGTTGGGTCCTCTGATGGTGTCACTAGAGTAGATATGGGGACAGAGTTGGCAACGGGGTTTGTTACAGGGATTGGTTCCTGAGTTAGTGTTGGTGTGGTGTGGTGAGTATATGTTTCAGGTTGGGGGGCTGTCTGTAAGCGAGGACTGGCCTGCCTCCCAAGGTCTGTGAGAGTGAGGGATCATTTTCCAGGATAGGTTGTAGATCGTTGATGATGTGCTGGAGAGGTTTTAGCTGGGGGCTGTACGTGATGGCCAGTGGTGTTCTGTTATTTTCTTTGTTGAGTATACTACTGTAGTTAGTCTTTAAGGTGCCACCGGACTCCTTGTTGTTTTTGTGGATACAGACGAACACGGCTACCCCCTGATACTTGACACCTGTCCATAGGCTCTCCCAAACCTAAAGGCCCACCCCCTTGTCTGAGAGGGAGGAGCCACTGAGCCAGAAGACAAGCGATTACCACAGGGAACAACAAATACAATAAAATAAAAATCAGGGATGAGATGGAGAGTCAAAGGGCCAGAACAAGGAATCCATAGAGGGATGCAGACAGAGCAGAGGACCCCTGACTGCACCTCAAAGGAGTCCATAAGTGGTTTGCTCAAGGTCACACAGGGAGTGTGTCAGAGCCAAAATTTGAACCCAGCTCTCCCGAGTGCCAACCCAGTGCTTTAGACAAAAGAGTCGTAGGGTCTAGTCCCAGCTCTGCCACGGATTTGCTGCTGTGACCCTGGCCAATTCACTTCACCTCTGGGCCTCCATTTCCCTGTCAGTCTTGTCTAATTAGACTGTAAGCTCTTCAGGGCAGAAACTCTCACTCTGTGTTTGTATGTTGTCCCTTGTCCCAAATGATCTCATTTGGGGCCTCTGTTGTTGGGCTCCACTACCATTTTAGATACCTGGCTTTCCCCATGATTTATGTATTCATTGGCTGAGCTCGCAAAACTCTATGCTCAACTTGATGGCATTTCTCTGAGTGATACAGTAACTCCTGAACACTGCTTCTGATCAGTTCCAAAATTTCAGGGAACATTCCAGGCATCCATGGGCTGGACCCTTTTATTGTGACTGAGGAAAGAAAAAAGAAAAAGAAAAAAGAAAACCTGAAAGGGGGGAAAATGGGCGACTCATTGAGCCCCTGGCAACTGGTTAGCAGAGCTGCCAGTTTCAACCCACTCTGCAACTGGTGCTTGATGGCAACCATTAACACATTCCAGCATAACAATACCTCTCATTTTAGCTCCCTCCATTCTCCCAACTATGCGGACACCTTGAAGGAGAAAGAAAGGAGAATAAGAATGGTGAAAGTGAAGGGAGAAATGAGTGAGCACAAAACTCCTTAAAGTGGGGTGGGGGTAAGGAATGGGACCACACAGAGTCCCTGCAAGGGGTGGGGAGAATGGAGAGGTCACAGGACCTCTGATGGGGAGGGAAAACAGGGGAGCCTGGTATGGGGAAAATGAGCACTGGGGAAAGGGGGGGTATGGGACTACACATAGAGGCCCTGGCAGGCGTGGAAGAGAATGGGGCATTGTGGCAGAGGAGAAATGGAGGGCACACAGAACTCCTGGCATGGCGGTTCTCACAGAACCCCTGGGGTGGGAAGGGAATGGCAGTGGGGACATAAGGAAGGGGGGAGGGGCTGCAGGGAGCTGCTGAAATAGAGGGGGATGAGGGTGGGAACAGGGGGGTGCAAGGAGCCCCTGGTGTGTGCAATATGCTCAGCCTACAGAAGTTACAAAACATGCACCCCTCTACCACAAAATAAGTAGAACAATAAAAAGGCAGGTATCGCTGAAGTGGAAGACCACTGGACAGGAGAGAGGCAAATAAGAGGCCACATGATAAAAGTAATAGGCAGTCTAGAGAAGGCAGAGCAGAGAGTCTGTTCTCTCTGTCTCATAAGAGCAAGGGGACAGTCAATGAAACTGAAAAGTAGCCAATTCAAAACTGATGAAAGGAAATACTTTTCCACTCAGGGAGTAATTAGCCGGTGGAACTCACTGGCACAGGATGTCACTGAGGCCAAGAGGAATCAAAGAGGAATTGGATTGTTTATATAAATAACAAGAAGAATACCCAGAGCTACAACAGTTAATGCTAACAAAGAGGCTTGCAAGGGATAAAAGCCTCCTGCTTTAGGACTCAAACCAGCCTCTCACTATTAGGGAATAAGTTAAACATGTAATGGGGAGGCAGGGGGAAGATTACGCCATACTTGCCAATTGTAGGATTTTTACAAGAGATGCCTCAGAGGAATATCTGTGGAGACAGGAACCATGGTTCTGATCCATTCCACCAGTTCCCATGTTCCTCTGCAAAAAAAATAAAAATAAATATTGCCATGAGGCAAAATTGCTGCATATGAGAGCTGAAAAATAAAATAGTAAAATATGCTGTCTAGCACATCGGTGTCTCTAACGGACTAGCAGGACTTAGTCCTTCTGTGTTAGGTGCTTAGACAATCATTCCTGCCTCAGAGGGCTTACGTTATATCTATATTCACTGCTATACTATGTAAGGGTCCAACACTCCATCTTTCACTACAGTCATGCCTTGCACTCAGCCCCCAGAGGCTCTCGTTGTGACCCACTGGACAGATTTTCAAGAAGGCCCAGTAGCCACTGACCTGAGCTCTTTCCAAGATATGGCCACTTACCTTGTTGCTTGAATGGGAGCTGAGCTCTTTCAAATACAGTCCAAGTGTCTTCCATCTAAGGAACTCAATGTGGTTCACAAACATAAATTAAGCTTCACAGCACCTATTTGAGGGAGTATTATTATCCCTGTTTTACAGATGAGACACTGAGACACAGTGAGGTGAGGGAAAAGGACTTGCCTGAGGTCAAGTAGGAAGGCAAATCGGGGAATAGAATCTTCATAGCCTGTTAAACCACAAGATCATCCATGTCTTTGGGCCTAAAGTCAAAGGCAGCTTTGGGATGTGTAAGTGCCACAGCTACAAGCAAGTTCTATGCCTCAGTTCAGTGTACTTGTTACCTTATTTGGAAGATGTGAACAAGCTCATGCAGCACTAAAGGGGCAGAAATTGGACATCTCCCTTGAGCAGGCATAGAACTGGCACAACTGGCGTGGAGCTGGTGCTTATGCCACTCCGTGATGTCCCTAATATAGGCCATCCGAATCTATACTTGAGCTGGGACAAAACACAGACAGAGAATCAGGGAGACACAATCAGCTCCCTTTCCCTGCTGCATCAACAGAGCTGGAATATGGTCTGGGATATTGTTTACCTACACATCAGTGTGAGAGCAAGGCTGGCTGCATAATTCTGGGAGGCTCAATCCAGCAAGAAAATAGGAAGCCGGAATCTGCAGAGAGAAACTGCTTTGATTCTGGTTCTTCCAGGTTTTTATAAAGTTGTGTCTAACCTGGCTCAGGACTGGAGTAGAATTGCGTGGGATTCCAACCCAGCACAAACAGACCATGG